CCCCCCCCCCCCCCCCCACACACACACACCTCTACTTCCCAAGTGCTCTCATGACAGGTGTGCACCACCAGCCCCTACAAGTGATGCTGGAGAGTGAACTCAGGGTTTTGTGACTGCTAGGAAAACATTCTGCTGATTAAGCTATACACCAAACCCTTAAACTTTTTTTTTTCGAGACAGGGTTTCTCTGTAGCTTTGGTGCCTGTCCTGGAACTAGCTCTTGTAGACCAGGCTGGTCTCAACTCACAAAGATCCGCCCGCCCGAGTGCTGGGATTAAAGGCAGGAGGAATGCAAGTTCAAGGACATCCATGGCTATAAAGTGAAAATTGGGAGGAAGGAGAGAGCCTTTAGGAACCACTAACTCCCTGCAAGCAGTGTTGCCCATAATACTCACATACAAACAAATACATTTGACTCATATCTCCCATGTGTTGACTTGGCAACCGCCTCTGGTGAGACAGTGCAGCCCAAGAGATTTTTTTTTTTTCCAAGAGATTTTTTATGTCCCCAAGTGAAGTGGAGACAACAAGGAAAACAACAACATGAGGTAACCTGGATTTCTTTCCAGGGAAGAACATGAAGGAAATAAAGTGAGCAAGAAGTTCCAGTCTTGGGAGAAGCATATTCAGGAGACAAAGCACTGAGTGCAAAAAAAAAAAAAAAAAAAAAATCAATCAATCTGTTTACTGGGGCCATCTTGGATACCAATTCCCATGAGATTCTGGGTCAAAACAGCAAGAATATTCAAAGTTAAGCAGACACTACAGCTTGGGAGGACAGCACTTGCTTAACATGTCTGAAGCCCTGGGCAAGCCATCAGCACCACAAACATGTATGCACACAGAATACCCAAGGTTACTTTCTATTGATTCTTTTAGAAATAGAGCTTATGCAAATTTATAGTGTGCTTGTGAAGAACATGTGACACGCGCTTTGTCATTCCTAGGTCTTGAGTGAATGATAAACATGAAGCTACCAGCTCTGATCTGCCCCTGTGACCACAGAGGTTATGGCTCTAAGGGAAGCAACACTGTTGTTACAGGGGTAGCAGCTCAGAATGTAATTTGAGGTTTTCTGACTCCCAAGGAAGGACAGGAGCCTTTCTCTCTGTTCAACCTTCAGTCCTCCCTCTCTCAAACAACTAACACTGTGGTTGAAGACCGTGCTTATTTCTCAGGCAGACTGAAGCCCCTGAGGTTCGGTCACTACTAAGAAAGTATTTTTAAAACTCTAAAACCACGTACAAGACAATTGCCAATCTCTGACCCGAGTTAGCTATTGTCTGGACCCTTTAGGACATGAAAGTGACACAGTAAAGACATAGTAATAAACATCAGATTAGTAGAGAAAAATGGATTCCTCCCACACACACACACACAGAGATTTTTTTTCCCTCGTTAGTATGGACTCTTACTTCGTGGTCTTCACCACCAAATAGCTTGCTCTAAGGAGCAAATGATGCATTACCTGTAGTGTTTGACACAGGATCTAGCTTGGAGTAAATAAATGTCCATCTGATCCTAACTGTCCCTCTTCTGCATTAACAACAGTGAAATAACCAGCTACCGAGGGGATGGAGAGGGACCTTGGGCGTTTTGTTGTTGCCCCATTTCACAGGTGAAGCGAGGCAGGATGAACACAGAACCCTCTTTCGGTATTCGGGAATTGGGAGAGGAAGGGGAATGGGGACCTAGAAGATCTCAAGAGAGCAGAGACGGTGATTTACTTCTCCGGCAAGCGAAGAGGCGTGGTCTGCAGGCCGGCGCAGGTGGGAGTTTGAAGAACAGCTGTGATTGGAGGAGGTCGGGCTTGAGGGCGGGGCTATGGAAGTTAAGGGTGCACCTTAGAAAAGAGGCCAGTGGGAAGAGAGACCCCAGGGAGTTGCGGGCTTGGGCTCTGTAAGGAGGGATCCGGAGGAGGTGGTGCTGAAAAGAAAAAAGGGACTAAAGGTGTAGTTAGGTGGGACTCTACGGCAACAGGTCTAATGGGAGGAAAATTCTTCATAATGACAGGCCAAGCAGGAAGGAAGACTGGAGTGGAGGGGGCTTGGCAAGGTGCGGTCGCAGGGAGCGAGAAGCGGCCAGGGCCGCGAGGGGAGTTCAGCTCACCTGTCTCCGGCGTCGCAGCCTCAGCTCTGTGTCTGGCCGGCTCACAGAACTTCCCCCAGGGCGTCGGCGGCTCCTGGGATCCCTCGAAACCCTTAGCAGCGCGCCCAGACCGCTGCCATGGCAACAGCGTAGCGCGCCGCCGTGCCCGCGGCGGGTTGGGAAGTGCGCCACGGCCGGGGGGCGGGGCCGGAAGTGTGTTCACTGGCTTCCGCGGCTTTCCGCTGGGTCGCCGCCATCTTGCCATTGCGTTGTAGCCTTCGTGTGGGGAGCTTAACCTCACCGCCGTACCGGTTGTCACCCTGAGGCGGACTGGCAGCTCTGAGCGTCGCAGTCATGCCGGCCGGACCCGTGCAGGCGGTGCCTCCGCCGCCGCCAGTAGCTACCGAGCCCAAACAGGTACCGCGCCCCGTGCTCCTTAGCCCGCTACCCCGGTGTAGGCCTCGTCCCTCCCCTCCCGCGCGGGCGCTGCAGCACTCCTGCTGGAAGCTCAGGCAGCCCTGAAGGACTTGGAGGGACTGCAAGTCCCAGGAGTCAACGCGCTGCATTGCCTTCTGGTCCCAAAAAGCTCCCTAGAACCGGAATTCTTAAAGAAGCTTGCGGACTTGCAGCTTAGGCTTCTCCTGGGGGCTTATTAGAATCACGAAGCCTCCGCTCTACACCTTATTTTAACCCGATCCCAAGGTGTTTCGTTCAGATGTGAGAAGCATTGGGCCTGTCTGTTTACTGTGGCTTTTGGGCCTACCGGTCGCTCAGCCTTTGTCCAGTAATCGCTAATTTCCTAGATTGCCTTATGTCTTTTTCGTTTTTCCCAAACACCTACGAGGTGCTTTTCCTAAACCGGACAAGGATCCAGTCTTCATCATTGGAGAACGGATGAGGCGTAACCCCTGCCTTAAGAGAGAGTCCAGACTAGTGAAAGTACAGGCATGCATGAACACTCAATGTTTATTTTCTTTGTTGGTGTAAGTGATAAAATGTCAGGCAGCCTTTAAAAGCTCCCAAGGCTGGGCCCATGACACTCGTCAGTAATCCCGGCATTTGTGAGTCTAAGGCAGGAGGATCACGAATTGAAGGCTAGCTTGGATTACAGGGCGAGACCCAAAAGCTAACAGATTGCTGAGGTGGAAGTATGTGGGTAAATAATTGCAGTTAGGTCGGATACAAATAAGCCATGAATTTAACCAGCACCGCTTGCTGGAGCAGAGGGGAAATGAATGTGCGGAAAGTCCACAGGAGTGAGAGGTGAGGGGCTGTTTTGCAGGAAAGAATAACAAGGAAGAGTGATGGGGGAAAGGAAATTAGTCAACATACACTGATCAGGCACATACTATCTGCTGATTGTTGCTTTGGGTTCAGAATACAATCCCAAATATGACAGATAAAGCCCATGTCCTTTCTCCAAACGTTTACGTATTTGTATGCTTGTGTATTTTCATCGGCACTGGGGAATAACAGATAAGGTGATACCAAATAATAGTTACGCCACGGTAGAGTCAGGTGCTCCCTCTTTTCTCAAAGGTACATGAACAAGTGTGGCTCAAGTACAAATTTGGGATAATGGTGGTAGGATTTGAACATGTCTATGAGGACAGTGGGAGATAGTTTAGGCTGGATAGTGCCGTTTGTGTTTCAGAAACATAGACTTGCAGTGCTGTAAAGAGGGGGACGAGAAACAGTTAACCGTAACCCAAAGACACCGAGGGTTTGAGGGATGGGCAAGTGTTTGTCCCAGAATGGTGTTGGCACAGGCTCTCCAGCCAAAGTGATGTGCTAGAATCCTGATTCTGTCTGGGGGCCAGGCACAAGTTTGTTATTCCTGTGGTCTGGAGTAAGAACACTTCAAGGTTGGCATCAGGATCCTAAGAGTTAATAGGCTTCAAGTGCCTGGGGTGTACTTTGTGTTTGGTGAATTAGGGAGGCTCAGGAGACTTGGAAAACCATTCTAAAGCTTGGTGGTATTCAAGACTTGTCTGGGAGATTGATGTAGGCAGGATTTTTCAGCCTAAAGTAGGGAAAGGAAATGTAGAACATAGTTCTCAAGAGTGTGTGGCTGAAGACAGAATACTGAGAAGAAATCGTAAACCATATGTTTAGAGCAGTGATTCTTGGCCTTCCTAATGCTGCAGCCCTTTAATGCAGGTCTTTGTGCTGTGACCCCAAACCATGAAGCCATTTTTGTTGCTACTTCATAATTGCATTTTGCCACTGTTATTAATCGTAAATATCTGATATGTAGGATGGTCTTAGGCAGCCCCTGTGAAAGAAAGGGACGTTCAACTCCCAAAGGAGTCGAGTACCACAGGTTGAGAACTGCTGGTTTAGAGGTTTCCAGTGTATAGGTTAAGAGGTAAAATGTAGAAGACAGAAGACAAGGCTCCCGCAGCTGCCAAGAATATTTGAATTGAGCAATCAGGAAGCAGAGACAGGCGGATCTCTCTGAGTTTGGGGCCAGCTTGGTCTATAAAGTGAGTTCCAGAACAATCAGGGCTGCACAGAGAAACCTTGTCTCAAAAACCCTCTAAATAAATACATAAATAAATAAATGAAATACTTGAAGTAAATGAGATGGAATAGAAACTGGTAATGTTCAGCTGCCAGAGGAAGAACAAGGGGAAGGCAGCAGCCCAGAGGAACATGAAGATGGAGGGAATCTCAGTTTTTTTTTTTAAAGATTTATTTATTTATTATGTATACAACATTCTGCCTCCATGTATGCCCACACGCCAGAGGAGGGCGCCAGATCTCATTACAGATGGTTGTAAGCCACCATGTGGTTGCTGGGAATTGAACTCAGGACCTCTGGAAGAGTAGACCGTGCTCTAAACTGCTGAGCCATCTCTCCAGCCCCCCCCCTCTTTTTAAAGATAAAGTATTTTTTTTTAAAGATTTATGTATTATGTACACAACATTCCTTCCATGTATGCTTGCATGCCAAAAGAGGGCACCAGATCTCACCATAGATGGCCACGAGCCACCATGTGGTTGCTGGGAATTGAACTCAGGACCTCTGGAAGAACAGTCAGTGCTCTTAACCTCTGAGCCATCTCTCCAGCCCTGGAATCTCAGTTTTTTAAGATGAGAGCCCAACTCTTAACTGAGAGAGGAAGAAGAAGCTGCTGGATAAAGCATTAAAGAACCGTTGGTGTCAAATTCCATTGAAGCTCCACAAACCATTTATGTATTTAACAGTGGCTAGGTTTATGGAATTGGTGGATAAAAAGTGGACAGTTAAGACAAAATGATCTATCAGCCAGACTTTTTTCTTCTTCTTTTTTCTCTCCTTTATTTCTGTTTGTGTTAAGTATAGAACCTAGAACCTCATGCAGGGTAAACACATTAAACTACTGAGCTGCTCTTTGGCAGACAGTCATCAAGTATTCTGTGCTAGACGCAATACTAGGTTCAGGGCTAAAGACATGGCCTTTTGGATGCTAAGGATATAATCAGTTCCTTGTTTAGCATGTGTAAGGCTCTGAGTTTCAGCCCTATGTCAGCAAATAAGCAAAAAAAAAAAAATTGTGTATCTGATCACACTAGTCTGCCTGTCTGAAGGGTAGCCAAGAAAGCCATTCTTTTCCCTAGCTCTTGGGAATGGCCCCATAAGTATATATAAGAAGTCTGCAGGACAAAGACTATTGCCAGCCGTGTCTTGGAGAAGTGCTAGAAGCTGGTTTATGATAGCCTAACCCAAACCAGGAATTTGAAGATCTTTTCTTTTGTTTTCACAGCCAGTTGAAGAAGAAGCAACATCAAAGGAGGAATCCACTCCCTCCAAGCCCGTGGTAGGGATTATTTACCCTCCTCCAGAGGTCAGGAATATCGTTGACAAGACTGCCAGTTTTGTGGCCAGGTAACAGCTGCTTCTGCACAGTGGGTTGGGGAAAATTGTAACATAAAGAAAGGGCTTTTGAGTCAGCACAAAGGCAGTATGATTTTTTGTTTTTATGTTTTCTTGTTTTTCTTTTTCAAGACTCTGGCTTAGGCTTGTTAGTTCCTCCAAAACTACAGTAGGGCCTGGAGGTGGGCAGTAAGCAGGACTGGTGTCTTTGACATGTAACAGCAGTGACCACAGTGAGAGCCATATCCAACTATAATATAGTCACCAGGAGTTTCAGCTTCCAAAACAAGCCTGAGGGAATTCCTGGTGGCTTCTTTTCCCTGATGATGTGTATGCTGTGTTTGGGCTGCTGACCAGAGGAGATAGAAGGCAGAGTTGATCATTCTCCTTGTGTAAGGAGCCGTATACAATCACTTGAGGTGAGTCAGAAGCAAGCTGATAGGACTGAGTAAAGCTCAGTTATGTTCTAAACACTTCGTTAATCTTTCTGGGCAGGGAGGACATTGGTCAGGCTTTTCCCCAACCTCTTCATCCTACATCCTTAGATGTAATCTTCAGGCCCACTTGACTCCAAAGGCCAACACATCCCACAGATATATCCAGTCTGCAGATGTTTTGTTTGTCTTTAGAATCTTTCTTAAAAATGCCTATTACCACGCTTAAAAATGAAATGATTTCGCAATCTGTCTGGATTTCTGGCTTTTCTTGAACTAGACTGCTTATATGAGTACTACATGGCCCTGAACAGTGTCTAGGGGCATATGCTGTGTTAGGCCCACATTCATAGTCACTCCTCTGAGGAAACGTCTCTACCACCTTGTATCATTTAATAGGTGTTTCTTTCCCAACTTCCTACTCAAGTAAAGAGGTTGTTTGACATCTTTCGCAGTGTCCACTCCATGAGAGTTTATGTCACTTTAACTTAGACTTTCACCTAAAAACTGCCCTAAAATTAGGACATTAGGTATTATTATGTTTAGTTGGCTAATGTTTCATAGCAACATTAATGCCTTTGCCATTTCTCCTGTGATGTTAATAATTGGGAAAAGGGTGTTGCAAAGGGAATAGGTGCAATCTTACTGTCAGGACAATTCCTGCCAGCTGTTGTCACCTTTTCCTGTTTCCTTCTGCTCTTAGCATCCTTTTTTGGATGTGGTAATACCAGCACGAATACTATAATGTCTTGATTTTTCTTGCATGCTAAATTGTAAACATTTCCTACACTACTCTATGATTTCCCTCATGCTGGATGCTTTCTATAAAGAGGGATGCAGGGTGTTGAGACTATGTT